ACACGAACGCACACAGACTTGTTTCTTTCAAGCAAAGAATTAGACCCAAAAAAGGACATGGCACCCTGCTGGGGATGTAGCAACAGCCGATACCATTATCTCCTGCCAAGGAGAATAATGTTTGTTAGACAGAAAGTTCTGGTCCCTTGGTTTACTAAAATTACCAGCCCGCATGGAAGCATTTCAGATGAGTACAGCCCACTCCCCGCTTCCAGATAACCCTGCCACGTTTAGCTGCCCAGGACTGCGCTGTGCACAAGGGCAGAACCAGAACTAAACCTTAAAGCTTCAGCTACAACCCAACTGTCTGTCACCAGCCGCAGCAGCACTTTAAAAGACATGAAAAAGGGCAAAGAGCACCCTGCCCTCTCGGGAGTCTCTTCAGAAGATGGTTTAAAGGCTGACAACCATTTTCACTGTTCAGGTACAATCTAGTTGTCATTCTTAATGCAGCCACTGGTAACGTGCTGTTTCCTCAGCAGTGCTTTCCTGCAGAGCAGAGAGCTATGACAGGACACGACTACAGCAACACTGCTTCACTAGCCTGCCTAAAAATGAAAAACGAGTTCAGCACAGATTGTCCTGTTGGTGGAGCTGAAGCCTTCCTTTGCCCTTTTCAAGGGGAGAAGAGACTACTCAGATGATTTTTTGAGTTTTAAAGTATTTGCCTGCTCTGGTCTCAGCAGGTGATCAGGGTCACAGACATTCATCAGCCCCCAACACTGGCATCCCATAACGCATTCCCAACACCACAAGAAAAATGAATTCACTCTCCCTCCCTCAGTCAGCATCTTTAACTGACACTTGCTGCTTTCCTGCCACATACAACCCCTAGCAAAAACACACAACGCTGGGAAAGACAGTAAACTGGAAGCTAATGATGAAGGCCCGGTTTCCACAGCACCAACAAACCTCCAAAATACTACTCAGAGGAAGGAGATGGCAGCTTCCTTCTGAGTTGTACTCTCACCTCTTGCTCTAAAGCACCGTGTATTTGCCCAACGCTCTCAGCCTGTCAGCCACCCAACAGTCCTGCTCAATCTATTAGTGCTACACAAGTCAAACAACGCATTTTGCACACAACAGCAGAGTTGCTTAAGCAGTCTTACCGTGCAGTACAACGAGAAACAGGTCCAAATGCCTCGACTGGTGGCGTTTTAATTACAATACATGGCAGCACACAGGACATGCCACTCTGGGAGAAACTTACTGCTCAGTCAAGTTTACCAGGAGAAAAATACTACAAAGAAAACCACAGTGTATTCCAAGCTCTGCTTCTGACTGAAGCCACATGTCAGAGACCACGCAGGTGTCAAACAGGCTAAGTGTTATGAAAAGAAAATCCCAAGAGGTGGCTTAGGAGAACCCAGGAGAACAGGACAATGGCAGATTTATTTACAATAGGACACAAAGAATACATACATTAATTAAAAATTACAAAGAATACAGAGAAAACACTTTGGGGAAGGGAGAGAAATCAATGCTGGCTGAGCCTCTCCACTGGGGCAGGAGGGAAAAAAAAAACAACCCAAACAACCAAAATCTCAGAGAGGGATCTCAAATCAGAACTGACACAGGGCTCCACAGCACAGTTTGGCTCACGCATCCCCTGCTCCCTTTTTCCATCCTTGATTCCTGGCTGACTAGACTTTGGCATGATGGGTGGCTGAAGAAGCTATTAGGCAAGGCTGGAAACACGCAGTGCCAAGGAGTCAAGCCGCACGGGAAGCCAGCTCCCTGCAGGGTAAGAGACATGGGTCCTTGCGTGGACCTGGTGGAAAGTCTTATGGCAATTGGGGTTAAAAAAAAAAGGCCCAAACCCCTCAAGGGTGCACATGTCAGTGCTGGTGGCAGGGAGGGCTTTGGGCAGTTCTGGGCTGGAACCTCGTCACCTGTGGCAGCAGACCTTACTGCTTACTATAGCAAGAAGCAAAAGCAAAATTTTCCTAGATCTCACTAAAAAACCCCAAAACACTCCACCTCTCCCCTGTAGCCCTGACTGAACTCAGCTAGTCTGGGGATGGAGGGAGCCTTCACTGTCATGTGGAACCTTCTTACTGGTAAACATCATTGAAGTGACCAAAATAAAAAACAACTTTAACCTCTTTTAAAAAGTTTCCCATGGGCTGATTCAGGCATCAAGCCACAGAAAGAGAGGAGCCCGCTGCAGAAGAGCCCACATCGGCTATCCCGGAGGGCTTGGACTGTTTTGTGGAGAAGAACAAAATACAGCTTAGGGGTGTACACTTTTTCTGTTCCCTGGAGGTAGAGAATTTAAGAGGAAGAGAAGAGAGCAGCAAGAGCAGCTGGAGCACAGGGCAGGTAGTGAGACAGCCTGCTTCTGGCAACGGGAGAACTCCTCAGGGCCTCTCCCTCTGTCCCCAGCCCCTTCTGCACGGCCTGCACACACCTTGCAGTAGTTAGGCCCAATACTGCATCAGATCGCTTGGCGCTGAAGCAACGGCGTCGCAGCCTTCTCTCCGCAGGGCTCTGCACAATCCCGGCGGGGCTCCCGGGAAGGAAGCCTGCCCTGTTTCCTCACACAGCTGGAGTGGAGCTATTGGCAGAACAAACCCTTGTATTACCTCACACATCCTTCCAGTCCTGTATTCTGGCACCAGCACAATCACGCCGATTCCACCAGAACGTTACGTCCTGCTGTACCTTCCGAAAGGGAGGAAATCCCACCCTCCCTCAGCCCTTCCAGAGACATCCAAAGTGGCACACGCTGTCCAAGGCTGGAGGGAGGGAGAAATGATGCCGAGAGTTGCAGTTCTCAAGCTCTGTCAGGGTGAAATTGCACTTCCCAGGCTCCAAATGGCACCTCCAGCAAATTGTAAACAAGCCGAATCCAGGACTTCTGTGGTCAGAGCCCGCCAGACTCATGCTCCTTTAGGCTCCTTTTATTTTGCCATAGTCAAGCTCCCTCTTCTGTGCAGAGATGAAGGCAGGCAAGAAACCCAGTCTGATATTTGTCTGAAGAATCTCCCTGAATCCTAGAGCACCCTAGGGGTTGGAAGAAAACATTTTCACAAGTGTTTCCATTGCTGTCTCAAATTCATTCGTCATCAACATAAAAAAAAGAAAAGGATGAATTAGCAAAAAGAGGGTTTACTTATACAGAGGGATATTTCTCTGCTAAAAAACTCCCTCAAATATGGAACAGGATAATAAAGTTAAAATGTAAGGTATCTACAGACCCCTCTTCCCCCCAGGAAGTAGCCCAGAATCCATGTACACTGTGCCAAAGTTACATTCCAAAATGAGGAGTTATTTCTCTTGTCACTCTCCCACTGTATTTTGTTTCCTTAAAGAACTTGGGAGAAGATGACCCCTTCACTCCCAGGAGGACACGCATTCAGGTGTCTACTTTCTGCTGGGTCTCTGCATCTTCAGTCTATTTTCACTGCGGCATAGATCTTCCGGACAAACATGTAGGCTGCATAGAAGCCAATGGTGCCAGTGAGGAGCCAGAAGGACAAGACCATAAGGGCGGTGTAGCCGAAGTATAGCAAGGAGGGAATGAACTCAACAATATCCAGCTGAAACAGAAGAAGAGGAAAAAACAAGCAAAATCAAGTATAGAGGTAATAAGAGTTAGCTCCCCAAACCAGCCAGTGCCCTCTACGAGGGGAGATTTGACAAAAGGGAGGAAACCCTCCACTCAATTCATTTTTGTCTGGCTGAAAAGAGATCCCTTTTGAGGTGGGAACACCGCTCTGCACAGGTAACGCGGGCAGGGACCTCAGGCACTTACAACCATCTCTTCCCTCTGGAAGGGCTGGTAGCACCATTGGCTGGTGAGCTGCCTTGGGCTGGCATAGGGACGGACTAGGAGCAGGCAGTCCCACCGTTTCCTTTCCCAAAGCCAACAATCTCCTCCAGAAAGGTGGCGCTTTCATACAAGAGCAATAACAATACCTTGTTCACAAAGTAGAAGATGGCATAGATCAGCACATAGAAGGCAGATCCTCCAGACACCAAGAAGGTCCTCCACCACCAGCGGTAATCCTGACAGAGTAAAAAGCCTCAGCGTTATCCCACAGGCTTCCTTTTACTGTGTCACTGTCTCAGGGAAGCTATAAACTTTCTGGGACAGGAAGAACTCCACCCATTTCCGTTCAAAGGAAAACCACAGTTTGGGGCTGGGGAGCTATTTTGTCACAGAAGCGTTTCCAAACAAAGAGGATGAAAAGCTGACAGTGGAGCAAAGCCAGGTCAGTACCACAGCACCTACTACCGAGGAACAGGGCTCAGCCTCTGGCCCTGCATTTTGTACATGGAGGGGATGAAATGGTTTCTTTGGGAAGAGACATCAGCTCAAAATACCCTGCTCCCAGCAGAATTTCTGGTATGAAACCACAGTTCCCAGCCTAGCAGATAATCAAATAGCTTCAACTCTCCTTGAAGTCAAGAGGGGTTTAGAGCAATCATGCTTGTGAAGCTGGGCCAGACTAGATTTCTGCTGAGCAGCAGCAATAACGTGACCTGTGCTTTTCCAGGAGCAAGTACCTCGAACTACTGAAACTACAACGCGGAAATCTCACCTCAGCACAAAGCTGGAAGTACACCATGACAATGCTGATTTGGGAGCACGATACCACCAGGATTATAAACACCAGGAAGAGAAAGCCGAAAAGGTAATAGAACTGGTTCTCCCAGATTGCCTGAAATAGACACAGCAGAAATTTGTTTCCATGCTACTGTGATCAATCAGTGAACGTAAGATTAACTTCTAGCAGCTACCCCAAGGAAAAATGAAGAGCCCGTCAGCCTCATGTAGATGAAACCACAGATCTAATGCATTTCACAATGTTACTTCAGAGGAATCAGGTTGCAAAGACAGCTATGAGGTAGCTTGCTCATTCCCCTCCATCTCCCTAGCAATGAAACAGCAAATTCCTCCCTGTCCATAGAAGGTGAAAAATGGGCAGCAGCTGGGATGGCTCAGTGAATGTCTTACATTACAATAAGCTTTCATCTTTACCACCATCCTTCAAATCACCAAGGAGTGTCCCATAGACATCTCCAGGTATCTTCAGCAAAAGGATAGACTGAAGAGACCCACAGCCCAGCTCCCTCTGGAAACAACACTGAATGGCCTGGAGTGATCCTGCTAGCCCCTTCAGGAAGTACAGGATAGGAGTCTGCTCCAGTGGAAGCCCCCTCCCCTTCAAAAACTTTGGCATGAGAGGAATCCTATTCAGGAGCAAAGCGGGTTAAATGCTTACACTGAAAATGAAGAACAGTTCAATGAACATAGCTCCAAAAGGCAAAATACCAGCCATGAGAATCCTATAGAGTGAGAAAGAAAAATCATAAGCAGCACAATAGGACTGTCTGGTCATTAAAAGTCCCCTGTAATCACACAGAGCACTCCTAGCAAAAGCTCTGCAGCTCCACATTACTAGAATAAATTTCACACAGTAAACGGCACAACTGCTCCCACTCTTGATAAGCACCCGTCATACCACATCGACATTGTCAAGATTGTCTCTGATATTGTATTACTCAAGGAAACAGGTCTGCCATCTGTCTGTGTCCAGAGACCAGCAGAAGGTGATGTTCAGCAACCCGAGGAGACAGAGGAGAGGGGGCTTAACTCACCGCATTTCCTAGACACTCATCACTCACCCAACAAATTTATTCATATACCACCTCTGCTCCGGGATCTGCCTGGGAATCTGATTTGTCCGTACAGGATTGTCATACGGCTGTTTGCGAAATCCAAAGTAGTAACCCAGGTAGACCAAGGGCAAGGAGATCCCGAACCACATGCAGAGCAAGGCCACCATGGAAGGGAAAGGAACCTGACCATGGGAGGGAAAGGCACCTGGAATCACACCAAGAGTCACAGAAGTGAGGCTGGCAGCTCACCAGCCCTGGAGACTGAAGTCTCCAGCCAGACCAACTCTTGATGATCTTAAAGGTCTCTTCCAATGTACGTGACTCTATGATTCTCCAGTCAACCACTGCACTGGCACCCACATTTAGAAAGATACTGTGAAACTATGCAAGTCCCTGACAGCCCAGTCACCCCCTCCTCCCATCCAGCAGGCTCCAGGATGAAGGTAGTACCTACCGCTCCAGAGGAGTGTTTCCCCCAGATGAAACAGTTCAGGACAAAGCAGATACCAAACACGACACCCGGATACAGGGTAGCTGTCTGCAAGAGCAACCACAGGTTAAGAGAAAACACATGATGAATCAGCCAGATGTTTCTCTTTAACGAGTCCATGGCTGGGACAAGGCACGTGTGGAGGAAGCATCCCTTTTGCTGCAGCACTCATACACAGTGGATGGGCTGCGGGAAGATCTCGGACAATCCTCTTGCTTCACTTTAGTACGTGCTCTGGTGTTCGCCCTTTCATGTACAGCTACGAGGACTCGATTCACACCAAATCTCTGCAGTACAGCCAGGCTGTGTCCAGCTACCCGCAAATACGTGCGGAGCTTATCCACGTATCTTGCCATCAGCAAAGCTGGATACCCAGCACAGAACACCACAAGACTCACACAAAAGGCTCCCTTCTTCCATCGATGTCCTTTCAGAGTCCGGTACAAGCGGCCAGCAAAGAATCCACCAAAAACCCTGGACAGAAACAAGCCAAGACAAAGAAAATTCACTTTCATTGTGGGGAGAGGGAGAGGAGGGGCGGGCAGGACAGCATTGCTGTGGGAAGCAGCAGGGACACCTACCCCATGAACATGAAGAGAAAGCAGGCAGTAGTCATCAACGCACCCCGACTAGAAGGTGACAGCATCCCCAGCATAGCAACAACTGTGGAGGGAATAAAGGACAAGGAAGAGCAGCTCTGACGTATGTGTGCTAGCCAGCACCTGGAGAACAGGGGCCTGTCCCATATGCACATCATGGCTGCCTGGAATCTCTGCCTTGCACAGACCTCATTTCCTTCAAAGCCTAATGCATCCACAGCCTCCAGCACTGGCCAGAGAGAGGAAGCCACAGCTTTGATCTCAACCTATAGACTGTGCTTTAGCCTCAATTCCCCCAGAGATTTGAGCAGGTGCAGCTCAGAAGGCAAGGCACACATGTGCAAAAGTCTCTCAGCCCACTATCACCCAGGGCTCATATCTTGATAACAGGAAATACAAACACCAAAAGATGTCTTCATCTGGGATGCTATCTAGAAACTCAGAAATGCTGAGCACAGGCTGATTGCCTTGATCAGCCCTGCAACAAGAAGCAGCCTTAATGCAACCTCACTCAAACTAAGGTGAGCATAAGTTGAAGTCAATGGGAGCTACAAACACCCTTGAGCATCATTGCTCTTCTCGTTACAGCCACCCCACGCAACATGTGCCACTTACAGATGACAATCAGGATCATACAGAAGAGCTGAATTCCAGAACCCAGGAGAGAGCTGAGGATCATAGGATACTGCGGTGGCCTGAAGACATCTCCATGCACAAGTTTCCAACCAGATTCCTCCATAGTATCTTCCTGTAGCAACAACAGGAAAAGAAGGCACTTAGATACAGTCTAACAGTGCAAATGAAGGTTCTACCAGAGCTAGCCTAAGACATTAATTTCACTGTATACAGTTCTATAGAATTATATCACTATAGTTAAACTTCTTTCCTCTTAGGCTTAAAACAGTTCAGACCTGAACTGCCAGTGCCAGGGCACACATTTATGGAACTGTCTGCAGTTATTACTTAGGTCTGAAGACACCTAAACCAGTAATCTGCCATTTTACACAGACAGACAAAGGCATTGTGACAGCACATGACAGAACTGCCCCTCCTAACTTCAGGGCTTGAAGCAAAACTAGGGCAAGGAAAGAGAAAATACACCCAAGTCTTCAGACAAGATCCTTCCTCATCTGTGCTTCCCTCCCTCTCTGATTCCAGCCCCAAGAACAAACACATACAATGTCATCTTCCTTGTTGTAGTTGGCAATGTCCTTCCGGAGAGTCCGGATGATAATCATGCTGAGAATACCTGAAAACAAGCACAAACTGAGTTTAGCTCAGAGGCTCCTACATGTTGTGCTGCTCTCACACTGTGCAACTATGTGGCTCCCATCAACACGCAGTTCTGGCTAGGAGAGGAGGCCATCTCCCCCAGCCTTCAGCAAAGACAGAAACAAAACCCCAGGGAGTAGGGAAGGCAGTATTCCAGCAGGAACGGGGTGCTGTGGCTTTCCTGTAGGTTTGGTTTTTTTTTTCCCCCTCCTTAAACACAGACATGCAAGATGTGGGTTAACCACATTCTACTCCCTCAACTACCCCTGTCAGAGAGAAGTGGGTAACTATCTCACCCCATGGGTCACTGCCCAAACTGGGAGGTTTTATCTGCTAATGTTGGTTTCCCGCCCCTTCTGATCAGGTTCAGACATGGCCACATCCTCCTTGAGCCACCTGCAGTTGAGGCTTAAAGAAAGTTCCCTGCAGATTAACAGTAAAGCCGCCTTCACCCCACACATCTCACTCACCTGAAAGGAAAAAGACGACCACAACCGAGTTAATGATAGAAAACCAATGAATCTGCACGTCACTCATGGTCAGGTAGGTGTCCCAGCGGGAAGCCCATTTAATGTCACTTTCCTGAAAGAACGGGAAAGTTCTTCTCATACCAGCACATTCCCAATGTCTTCCACAACACCTCTGTCACAGACACTTGGAGCACTAACTACGAGCCAGCCAACGGTAGTTAGCTGCCAGCCAGCTTCCCGTTACTCCCTCACCTCCCAGTGGACAGAGTAGGTGAAGAGCAACTGGTTCTCTTTAGAAGGATCTATTTCCTGAGGGGCAGAGCCTGTAGCTTCAGGCAGGGTGCACATACTCTTCTCATCAGCCTTCAAGTCTGTAAGGGAGAACATGGCACACACTAGGTCAGCCCTTCCCTCGGGCACCACCTCTCACACCCATCATCCTGGCCCCAGGTACCCTGAAGGTGCTGGGCTGCAATTACTCCAAATACCACAGAGGAAGCAGTCATTCCTTTCTCACCTCCTTGGCAGTTTGCAAAACTATTCTTCCGATCAGAAGTGGAGGACCAAAGGAAAGCTACGCATAAGGCTTTCCTTAACTGGAAGGATAAAAGCCAGAGGCTCTGAAGCCAAGGATCTAGATCATGAGCAAATCCTCTATTCCATATGATACACTGAGAAACAAAACCTCTCTGGCCAAGCCTGCTGCTGCCAGAATTGCACAGGATGATACACACAATGAGCAACTTCCCTCAAGACACCTGTTTCACGTTGGGCTCTCTGAGGTAGGAGTGTTTCCCCCTAACCATTATTTTTAACATTCAATCCTCCTAGAACAGTTCCAAACATTCTGTGGGTCTCTGGACTAGCACGCAGTGTCCCAGTGGGGGAGATCTGGACCACAAGAAGAGCCAGATGCCATGCCTACTTCATACTAGATGACACAGTCCAAAAAAACCCGATCTCCAAACACCAATCTTTTTATATAAATCAATTTTCCATGGACTGCATTTCAAGGATATCTCTATATTTTTCGTACTTATATCAGGGTGACAGCTGATGCATCAGTGGCGTTCAACTCTTGGCCCTACAAGAGATTCTTCTCCTTTGCTCCCCTCCCTAAGAGTCTCTCACCTTCTAGTTTAATACTTTGGGGAATCACTTCAAAGCGCACAACCCTGTAGGTGGGCTCCTGGTTCTCTTCCACATCCTCTCTGTGGTAGTAAAGGATGAAGGAGAGGTGGTTGTGCAGGTAGAACTAAAACAGATTGACATTAAATAAAATGTTAGCATGCCGGGGGAGGAACAGACAAAGTTTAGAAGCAACAAACGCAGAAAGCAGCTTCAATACAGAAAACTAAAGACTCCAACTGTTCCCAGATGCATTGTGCTACAGAGCAAGATCAGGCTAACGCTTTCCAAGGCTAAAAGAATGTGAGGAGAGAACAGAGATGTCAAAAAGGTAACCCCACAATCACTCCAGGCATCAAGGACAATGTTTCAGTCTATTCCTGGCCTGGAAAATATTATTATATCTCACATCTCAACCATGCATTCAGTAGCAGCAGAATCACCACATTTAGGTTGGAAAGACCTCAGTAGCTACAACCCCGAGTTCCCTGCCTGCTTTTTCTACCAGGCAGACATACATTACCCAGACTCCGGGGGGGCCCACAGCTGCCCTGTGCTTGTGCTTTCAAAAGGCTCTTACATCACCTATTACATGAACAAAGTACAGCAACCCCAAGCTGGCACAGCAGGTTCATTCGCCCATAAGAACTTAGATTCAAGCAATCAGAGCTGCGTGTACAACTAACAAATGCATCTGCTTATCAGACTGAAGTGTTAAGTCAAACACCTAATCTTAGGGCACACAATCATGGAAAATATCTGCAGGAATACACATGCTAAGTTTCCATGTACAAACTTAAGCAGCTTTTCCTCCAACAAACACTTGACTTTTTTTTTAAGTACAAGATGCTCCAAGACCATCAAAGATTAGCCAGCCTTTGGGTATGTTGCCTTTGTTCTACTGAGGGGAAACCACCCCATGCAGTTGTCCAACGTTATACAGCGAGTCAAAGCTGGGGCTCCTGGCTATTGTACCAGTAGTCCAGCACCCACCCCCTTTTTTCAATAAGAAAACTCTCTCTCATATTTCCACTTTTATAAGAAGCTTTTGGTCGCATTCCCAATTCTGATACTCTTCTAACACCCTCTGACAGACACCCTGAGCTCCTCCGGGCACCCCTCGGACAGCATCTGGATTCTCTACCTTGTTACCGTCCATAAACCCAAGCCTGTATCCATGCTCAAACTGCACATCCTTCTCCTTCTTCTTCTCCTCTTCCTCACGATTGGAATAAAACTCCAGCCGTGTTGCCACAGGGAGGTTATCAGCAATGCTGAAAACACAGATTTCAGATCAAATTTGTCCACAACACAGAATCCCCACTGACACAAACCCATGCTCGAGATGACTCACAGATGGACATAGTAATCTTCCCTGATCCGCTCAGCGATCAGCTTGCTCTGCTCCACTGTCAGAGTGACTGGCTTATTGGGAAAGTTGCACAGAACTTCACATTTCTTCTCCACGTTCATGGAAACCTGGAAAGGTGTATTTACAATTCGGTCCCCCCGAAGAACCTCACCTGGAAAACAGGAAAATAAGGGCAGAGTTGAAAGCTTCTCGCCACTGATCCTGCCCCCGGGCTGGCAGCGCGCTGTACAGCTGGAACGATGACAGCGAGTCTCCTTTGTTACCACAGACGTAAGGATACAATTGAAAGACAGTTTAGCTATTTTGTTGGAAGTATCAAGTGCTACTTATGAAGCAGGTTACATGCCCTCCTTCAGGAAAGGCATTTTCTCTTTCCAATCTATGGACATCCTAGTTTGCAAACAGCCAGGGTATAACAAATCAGAGGAAGCAGGCTCTCCACAAACAGTTTATTAGAGATGACATTTGCAATTGCTTTTACTCCTGTAAACATACCCTCAGGCAGCTTGTAAATGGCAGCCCACTTACTGCTGGGGAACATGCTGTTCAACAGATACGTACCAAGATTCTCAGCCTTGTACGTTATCTTGGTGGGCTGGCAGAAGGGCAATGAGTAGTACTCATATGGTAGCTGGGTTCGTGAGCTGGTGAGCTTCACAGCCTGGAGGAAGAACGGAAGGATTATCCCCATGAAAGAACTCTGATAACTTCCTATTCTCTAAGCATCAGCCAGAAGCTAAAGCTTACTTCAAGACACCTCCCATAAAGCTCATGTTTGGAAGCTGGGAGAGCTCCAGCTTTCTTTCCTTTTGCACAGTTCCTAGTTGTAGATTGTATGATTTAGCAATTCATTCGCAAACAGAGAAACACTTGAAGGAAGAAGCATGGTGTATTGGTTTCACAAATTTATGACTCAGTGAAGTTCTAAGAAGCAACAAAGAGCTCAAAAGAGATTCAAGAGCCACATTTCATACAAGACTATAGTTATTTCCTCCAAAAAATGTCATGTCACACTGGATCTAGAGGTCTGGCCTCTAGTGATATGAAGAGTTCAGCAATTTTTATCTCTGTAAGGAAAGCCAGAGAACCATCAGATCGGGAAGACAACGGATGGTGACAAAACCCAAACATTTCTGGAGAATTCCCACAAATCATATGGCACAAGGGAAGTGCAGAGACATACCACCATAGCCAAGGCCACAGTTGCTATGAAAAACAGGAGTGGTTTGTAATGCAACCAAACTCATTTATTGGAAGAGCGCTGGCAAACACGCTGACATGCCTTATCACTTGAGGAAGCATTTGGCTCGTGAAACCCCTCTGAGAAAAGCCATTCCAATACCCTCTTCTTCTGGGAAGCTTACTGTAGCCACAGGCAAGTTTAATTTGCTTAAAAATAGCCCATGTCTGGCAGCCTGTGGCCAGAGAGCAAATTGTGTTGTGCATCACATGGGAGCAGCCAACCTCAGCATCCCCAAGGGTGCTGGATTTTGCTGAGACAGAGGCCACAGCTTTAGAAAAATAAATGAAATGGGCTATAAATTGCTGATGTCTGGAAACAAAGCCTGGCTTCCTCCTGTACGGGTGAAGCAGTTCCATCATTCACTACCAGCAATACTGCACAGGAACTGCTCTTCAGCAAGCCTGGGTTGTAAGATCTGCAATACTCAAGGACAAATGCCTGCACTTGAAAAGGGCTTATCATGGATTTCACTTGACTTGAAGACACAACATGTGCAAACAGGGTAGAAGAAAAAGGTCTGATTTAAACCACTTCATTATTCTACCATTCACCTAAAGGCCCACCCTCTATAAGCACTTTGAGAGTCACAATAATGCTGGAGAAAAACCTCTGATTAAATTCATTTCAAAGCTACAGTAAGAAAGAGGGCTCTTTTCCCAAATAGAGCAACATCTTGAGGACTTTGGTACAACTGCTGAAGGAATGTGGTAGAACATATCAGAAGCAAGAAAAAGAACCATGCTGGGAACTGCAGGGTAAGATGATGACAGTGACCGCTTGAGGGCTGCTTATCCCCAAAACCCTACGGGAATATTGTGAAAAAGAGAAAATATCTGCGCCTAAAATTTTAGTAACAGGATCCCCAAATTTTACTTTCTAGTCCCACTTAGCTGCTATGATACAAAGAAGGAAAAAACCCACAAAACACAAGAAAACCCAAACCAAACAAACAGCTCTAAGTTCATCCTACCTTTATTTCTACAGGATCATTGCGGCGGAAATTGATAGGAGCCACACCAGGTACATAGAAAGAGTCTGTACCGTGCAGCAACAACAGTGAGACCAGTATATATCTTAGCCTTTCCTGCAAAAAAGAGAAGAAACATTAAAATACAACAGAAACATGGGAACAACATTAGAGATGGACAACAACACTGAAAGCGTTCATCCTGGACATTTGAAAGGCTGTACAGTCAGGTGCTTCAACACAAATTAAATTCAGAAAATCTATTCTTAACTTTGTTTTGTGACTCTCATGAAGTCACTTTCCACTCTGTGTCTGTCTCTTCATCTATGATTAGGAAAACATTGGCTTTGCTTAACCACAAGAAAAATGCACTTCTTTTCTGTAACAGGCTTCATCTAGCAGGCTGTCATCTGACTTTTCTACTCCCACCCATCTAACACCCCTGTGTGAGAAAACTCCAAGGATTACTAGAGAAGAGGGCTGTAGCCCAGGCACTAGATTTTTGTCAGCTCCACATGTCAGGAGTTGTCCTGTAGCCGCTTACGGGCTGAGGCTCACGCACTACTACCTGCAGTGGGGTAGTTAGTGCAGGGTAAGGTCTGACACCAAACTAACCACTCGCTACACCCAAAGGGATGGTCACAGCACCGCTCCTTCCTATTCCACTTTTCTTTCCTCACCCCTCTGGGCCACAACACAGCAAAAATGTTTTCACCTCTTTTTCAGGGAGTAGGGAGACAGGTCAGACTGGAAGGTTCAATCAGTTCCGTGGGGGCTCCAGCACAAACCAGACCCCATACACCACCAGCAGCAGCAAATCCTTTAATGGACTTTACTGCTTCCTCAGTTTCTACTGTTACCTCGGGTAACCCAGCCCAGTCAAGCATGAGCAGGAAGGCTGTGAAATGAAAATCAAGCTTTAATGAGTATTAGACAGCAGCAGCTTGGCTGGATTAGAATATCAACTCTGGTATAATCTCATTGTATTACTAGCTTCAGCCCATTCTCTTAAACTCCCATGTGTACGGCACCACCGGAAAACCACACAAAACCCAGAGTCTGGTTTGCGACAACTCGAGCTAATGATACAGCGATAATAAACCCAATTGCTGCCTCCTCCTGTGTGTCCTCAGCAGGACCTTCTGCCCGTACACCTACATGTAGGAGCTCTGCAATCAGGGGTGGGAAGACAAACATAGAAGGGAAAGGCAGAGGAAACAGACTGACCAAGCGAGATGGGCTTGGACTAAAACAAGCCACCACCAGCCTGGTGCCTGCTCCAGCTCAGCAGTGCCCAGGGTTCAGCACTACCCTCCCACCAATTAACACCGTCTGGGCAGACTGTGAGGGAATTAAACACAAGGTTGGCTTGTGGATACAAGCTGAATACCACAGGCAGCAGAGGAGAAAGCACGCCAAGCTCTAGTCTCCCATCAGCCGCCTATGGAGCCTGTCCCAAACAGCCAGCCCCGGCACGGCTGCTCCCTGCCGGCAGCGGATCCACAGGGAAAGCAAAAGCAGAGGGGAGCTGGGATCCGGGACCCAGAGAGCAGCTGGCAGGAGCTCTGGGCACCGACACAGACCCCAGAGCACTGACATTGCCAAAAGCACCGCTTCTCCTGGCTGGAAAGGGCAGGCTGCTACAGCCACAACATCTTTCTCGCCACGGCACTGAAGCACGGTCAGCATGCACGCAACGCCAGAGGAAACATTCACAACAGCTCGATGTTCATGAGCCAGGTGTGGAGAAATAGCAGCTCTATCACAGGGATCCCTCATCAGGTCAGGGAAAAAAAATAAAATTGTGTTTATTGCCCCCATACCCCCTTCCTCTTCATCACCTTCCTTTTGCCTTAGTCTGAGGCCAGTAAGGTACGTTTGGCCCAGACACCAGCTAGGGTCAACAGAGCATCCAGAATTGGTGGCACTGAGCAGGATGAAAAAAAAGTCAAATATTGGGTTTTTTTTAAATCTAAAATCTATTTAAGATGCAAATGCTAGGCACCTGCATAAAATGTGTTAATACTAAATTATCAGATATATCTTTTTTGCTTAAAAGGGAGATTTTCAGATCTATTCTAAGCACAGCTTAATGCAGTTAAAGCAGGCAAGAAGCCTCATCTGGAAAGCAAGTGGGAAGCACTCTTTTTAAAATTGATTGGACTTTAAAACTGATCTACCTTGAAACAATGTGGTGCTTATTTTCTGTGCTTCACTAAATTTTCCCTTCTCCTCTCTTGTAAAAAGAGTGCTCTGTGACTCTCCGACTGAGTAGGAAAAGGTCTCCCAGGCAGGTGAAGCACTGGAAGGAAACAGCACTCTTGTCCTACATTGCGCTCTACAGCAGCCAGCGACCTGTAGCAATTCTCTCACTTTGTTTGTCACTGAAGTGCCAGATATACACAGCACAATATTACTTAAAAAAAACCCAGAACCAAATCAGTGCCATCCTTCCTGAAAAGCTTGGAAGATGACAAGATAAGGACAGAATTTTGGGAGGTGCTCAGGAGACATGCAAACACATAGAAGATGAAATTTTTGATAACCCTTTGACAGAGATCAGGCTCTTTGCATACAGATGATGATGACTCAGGCAGCACCAGGCAAGAGAAAAGATAAGAGGGGGACTATGGAAAGCCTTGCCAGGAAAAAACATCTGGTAGCAAGAAATGGGAATGCTGCTATGCAACAGGTGGGGGGAGCTTTGTAAGTGAAATCTGAAGGAAATGCCCAGTGCAGGTTCCTAACCCAGCAGCTCACACCCGGCAGAGCGCACGCAGGCTGAAGCCAAGGACCTTTCTTATCAGGATCTTTCCTTTCCTATCGACAGATGTGCTTCATCTTCTCCCAACGAAGGCAGCAGCTTAGCAACAACACCACAGACACATACCAAAACTTCTGCATAACTCATGGGCCTGGCCAGGCAATCAGCTCACTTGGAGATGCCTGCAAGCTAAGTTCTCTCCTGTGCAAGATCAAAACTTGCAGGACGGAGCTCTGCTTTAGTTCAGTCATGGAGCCCTTGTGAGGCATGGACTTCCAACAGACAGGAGACACCACCTTCGTGGCCTTTACCAACTATTTACATTTCAAAACACATGCACAAAAAAAAAATATCTCAGATGACAGTCTTGCAGCTGAGGTGCCAGGAAATCATACAGCGAAGCAACAAGTAACAAGTAACGCACAACTTCAGATCAAGGAAAACCCAGCTGCACATAGACAAAAATACTTTGGATTGACTAAGTGTTACTATTTTACTATATGCGTACATGCAGACACACACTTGCAAAAGACCCTTTTTTTAGGAGGATATGACTTAAAGGAGAGAACTAACTGCAGAAGCACAATCAACCCCTCCTGCCCCGTCCCCCAAATCACAGCACCTGATGAGAAGCTGTACTCAACACTGAAGGATCTGTCCCATGCAAAAAGCCTGCTGAAGGAAAGCAAACCTCTTGCCCTCAAAAAAAGAAAAGAAAAAGAAATCTATTTCAAATGCACAATATTCCTTCTGCACACAGGACCCGGACAGAAGTCACACTCAAGTTTCTCTCTCGCACTGGCGGAAAGTAGCCTGGGGAAATCACAGCAGACCAGGCAGAGCCTGTCACCCTGGGAACAGGTCACTGCCAGCACTGCTGCAAGCACAGCTACACTAACACACCCCCCCGCCCCCAGCAGTGGCATCAGCGTCTCTCCCCATCGTCACAAAACTTGACACACCCATCCTCTAAGGGCAACAGCAACTATCCTGAAGTCTGTGGGATCTCTCTTGAAAGATTTTGAAAATCTATTCCTGTAATTAACTTTAGAATGAAGCACTTAGCTGTAAGAATAAATTAACCCAAACCTTCCTTGCAGCCATTCTAACAGTATTTCTTGTCCTGTGAGCAGCAATGAAAACAGAAATTCACACACAAACCTTCTCCATGAAGGTACTTCTGTATAATTATCGCTATACTTGCTATTTGCAAACAGTTCCAGGACACAGTTTTGCTGATTTATCTCATTTAGAAGGAATTAAACAATATTGCCATTTTCTGCAAATTCACAAAACCACGCTGCCAAAACCAAAGAACTGTTTAGCTAAATCCCAGCCTGACCAAGCGTGAAGAGACCTTACAACGTGCATTCATGCCATTACCATGCACATGTGTGTGCTACCCTACAGCCTGCAGTCCTTGAAGCTACCACTGCCAGAGTCTGAACTCCAACATTTATTTAAGGGAAAGGGGAAACAGAAGCCGACAGGAAGCTTTTCCCTGTGGTACTCTGCCAACACACTCGAATGTAAACGAGGGCCCGCAGCCGGACATACCTGCCCAGGTTACTGGCAAGCATTTTCTACAGACTGACAACTTGAAGAAACCTTGGAGCAACAACAATTTCAGGCATTCTGCAAGCATTTTAATAAGGCAGGTACTGTATCAGGGCTGGTTTAAGTCTTACAGTTTCATAATCCACATATGAACTTAAGAACATGATATAGTATTGCTCAAATTTGAGTATTTGCTCAAAGGGAGGAAAAGGAAGCAGAAAGTGACAACGGTGGGTATCACATGAATGAAGTGATGGACATCATCGCATTTATTTTCTGCAGAGAAAGGCAAAAGGACATCAAAGAGCCATAATCAAGAACTTTTAACTTTCAAATACAGCTTCAAAGAAAAACAGGGAAAAGGCAACCTATGCAGAGCCATTTGTCCAGCGAGATTCACAAAGCGCTGATATCCTGTTCCACTTACCAAAACTTTTTAATATGGTGACAGAAGGGGAGGAAAGACATAACCCACTACTTTGTGGGAAGAAAAAAAAAATCCACACGTAACAGCAAACTGAAGCTCTCTCCCACATGCAACATTTATTCTGCCCTCAGGCACATTAACAGGACACGCACAGTGCTAACAGCACCTGCTCTTCACTCTCTCCGAGGTGCCAGCCTGACACCCACCCTCCTTTTTCGAGGGCTGCCTCATTAGATGCTCTTGACAACTGTTTGGACAAGCTCATCTTTATTGCATCTCTGCCCAGCTCACCCTTGCACTTGGAGGAGTCACTGAAAGCCTTTCGAAAGGAGACAAGTGCTGCATTCACATTGATTTCAGAGAGCTCCT